CTTCGGAGCAGACTGCAGATGTCGACACGGCAAGCTCCATAAAATAAGGCCCGATGATCATGCAACCTGAAAAATGCCCGCGCCGCGACCCGTCGCTGTTTGGGCGAGATTGATCCCCGCGCCTCTGTATCCCATTCAAGAGATTGACTTACGAAGTAGGCACCTCAAAGTTGACCGGCGCACGCCATATGTCGGCTACTCGGAAAAGAAGAAAACATGTCCTTACTACTAAACTCAACTTCATGCGAAACTTGCACAAGCGTGGTCCACATCACAGAGGACGCGACTCATCGCACGCATTCCTTCTCGACCCAGACATGATCAAAGGATTGAACCTTTCCATGGTTTTCCGACTGAGCGATTATAAGCAACACCTTGGAGACTTACACACTACGGTCGTCTGGCCTCGAGTCAAGCCTTGCAGGAGGTTGATAATGATTCGATGCTTTTCGGACTGGGAGTCATCGTCCAAACACATACCTAGACCCAGACAGTTGCTGTCGCAAATACTGCTGCCAACCGCCGGGAAGGAGGCCATGAGATGAAGGTAGACGGACGAAATTCGGGCATCCTAGCGCCCACAGACAGACCGCCTGAAGATGCGGGCTATTGGGCTGCAGAGCTTTGGTCGCTCGCCTGCTGTCCAAGCGGGAACAGGCTCTACAAGATAGCCTTGGTTGTTTTGAGCTTGTCATCTATCAACGAAGCGGGAGATCTAGTAGAGAATAAGCCTGCTGCCGTCGACACGAACCAAGTGCTGTCAAGCGGCGTGCAATCGATATTATTGTCCAGCCCCAAGATCATATCTTTTGCTTCAGAAATCATGGCCTCTTCCGGAGTACACACTGAGGACGCCGACACCGAAGCTCGACAACATGTACCATTCTTACAAACATGCTGGTATGCCTACCTGGAAATCGAGTCAGGTGTTGCATTGAACAGACGAAGCTGCCTCGTGGCTAAGGAGGTTGGGTAGGTTCCATGGCCTTCCGGAACGTTTTGATCACCATGCCCCTGAACGAGTCGGGGCGGACCTCAAGGCCATCGCGCACGGGCAAAGGATTTCTCCATGTTTCAAAGTCGTTTCTTTCACGGCGAGAGCACAAATTCTATTATTCTGCCCCGGCCCCAAACGCGAGTACTCATTCCACCACTGGTTGAAGTTGGTGTTTTCAGAGAGTTGGTCTGCTAATCTTGTTCGGGATGGGACTCGGGCAAGTGGGCTGGGGAGCGTATGGTATACGGTTAAGGATTCAATTTCTTCCAGACTTCATTATTGAACAACGAATGCTGACCACCGCAGATATGGTTAAGATTGGTTCTACTGAGGGCACTTTGCTGCTTGATTACCAGAAAGAACATCTGTGAAGGCGTCTCCTGCGGAACCATACCATCAAATAAGGGGACCAAAGCTCTGACCGGGTGTTCGGAGGTCCAAGTGAGGCATGAATCTCATCTGAGGGGTTTTACGATTGCCAGTCAAAGTCAAATCGGGCTCCTTTACGTTTGATGTCGATACTTCGTATCTGGACTTCGGTGGAAAATATCCATCTATCCTAACACAGGTTCAACGGCCTCTCCGACACATATCGTCTTTTCTCCCAATTGCATAGTACGGGGGATAGATGTGAGCGTACTCAGACCCTGCGCGTCAGGAAAGAGTTCAATGTTCGACCATAACGCGCCACATTGAATTCGCAGAACAGCCATGATCCGGCGGCATTTCAGGGGCAAGAAACGGTCGCCAAAGGTTTACGCCTCATTCTCCAATGACATAGGTACATCCCTCATCGCCAATCCATACTTCATGCACGCGGCCGGCGTCTACGTCGATACGGTCGCCGACGCCATAAGTAACCTTGTCGGGGTTCTTGTCCTTGGGATAAGTGATGGTAAAGTTCCCACGCAGGATCAGATGGGTTGTCAGACCACGATGCGAATGCGGGGAGTAGTGCGCGTTCCTGAGCTTTGATCGTCAGTTCGTACATAGTTGGCTTCCACTCGGGGTAAGGCCAAAAGGAAAGGCAGAAAGGCAGTGGGCATCACGTACGGTCCGTCGGTCCAAGTGAAGACATGAGGAAACCCCCAAGATCTAACCTCGGACTCGCTATCACGCTGGGAATTGGACTTATTGGGCATGGCTGCAATGTGTGGCGATTGCTGGCTTGAAGCTGAGGGGTAATGTGCGCAGGGCAACGTTCAGAAGCTCGCTCGTAGCGTGGCGGTGACGGCGATGGAGGTAGACTGACAAAAGCTTGCGATTACGTCAGAGAAGATCAGATGTTGAGCTCTGTGCAGTCGACCGGGTCCGAGAGCTGTTCGTCGGCGATTCCGACAGCTGACAGGTATTTTCTTCTTTGGAGACTGGGCTGATGCGAGTTGAGAGAAACCTCGTTGAGATAGTTCGTTGGCGGAGTCGATGTTCAAAACGCCAGGTCGGCTGCCGAGAGGTGGTGGTGGCCCGCGTACTCGAATCTCGAGAGTCGGCTGCAGTGTGGGTGAAGCCGACTTTTAGGTGCTCGACCCCCACTTATGCCCCGAGTGCCCCGATGCCGTGTGGCGACTGAAGGGACGGTGGTTTCCGGGAGGCGCAGCAGCGGTGGCCGAGCAAAAGAGATGCATAGGCGCCGGTGGGAAACGCGTGAGTTGGTGGCCAGCAGCAGCAACAGCAAGCAGACAAACACGGAGCACCGGCGAAGGCCCCGCCATGCCACCATGCTCCCTCATCCTTGGCGTGCGGGTGACAGACTTAAGGCCCCTCCCAGCTGGACCTATGTACACTACTAATGCATTGAGGTGGAACATAACAACGGCTCGACGGAAGAAAACCGCCCCAAGGCTCTGTCAGGCCAAGTGGAGACCACCAGAGAATGCTCGGGTTTCCAGACTTCTGAGCCCTGGAGACTCTGTCACTTACTGCGTCGCTCTGGTTCAGCTCTTCCCACCTTTTCCTGGCGTGTCACCGTGTTGAATGGCTGCCTGGAGAGCTGTTCCCTCGACCTTAGCATGCCCATGATATCACTTTGTATGGGGATCATCCCTCCCTCCATACGAAGCGGCAACGCCTCCACTACTTACGACATAAGGTATCCGTACGAATACCCTAGCTTGCCCAGGGCCTACCCGCAGTCCGTACACTGACGGTTTCCACCCGCTGTATCCGTACGGATGCTATGTTTAGCGCATGTCGAACGGGGGACCGCGAGACGTCAATATTGAATAGGGGCAAGGCTGGCTAGCAGGCGACAAAAGTCTCGAACCATCAGCCGTAATGCCGTTTTGCCGAGCCCGGTGACAGTATAGCATGAAGTCGCTTCGAACTTGTACGGACAGCACAGCAAACAACGCATGGTGAGTTGTATGCTAAGGTGCTGCAGTCTGCATCTTGTGGCAGGCGAAATGGGCTGAGCCCTCTCCTATGCAGTGGCCAGACTACGTCGTGCATTGAGCCTCCCAGTGAGCCCTACGAAGCGACACCAATCTGTCAATGGATAATCGAGGCTCACGTCCAATTTTTCCCAAAAAGGCACCCCGTAAGACAGACAGGGCAGACTGCGATTGGGGGCCAAGACTAACCATCTGCAGATGGATTCAGTGTGACGTTCCGCTTCGCGATGCAGGGAGAAGAACACACAGAGAGAGGGACACACACATAGTCACACACATGCACGCAGACTCCGCCCCAAAAACAAGGCGTCAATACTTGAGCAACTCACTATTCAGAATTTGAGGAAGATTCTGAGTGTCGGCAAATGTGCCTTGGGGCCTGGCACTCTCCAGTCTGACAATCATCATGCATATCACGTACCCAAAACAGACAGTTATGAGAGAAACTATGCGGTACGCGTCACTCTCGTCCAATAGCCGACATTTTTCAGTCGCGGGAGAATGGAGAAGAGACGCGGGCTCCGACGTGATCAACAACAAAACGAAACAAGTCAAGATACAGAGGCCAGCTCGAGAACCAAGGACGTGGGTCCCGAGGAGGTCGTCCCTCGATGTCTCAATTCTGGGAGAGACTGAGAGAGTCTCACTCCAGTTTCCATCTCAACAGGCAGTAAAGGTAAGAAACACCACGCTAGAGGGCACCATCGACAGGGCCCTCGGGACCACCTACAGCAGGGATCCAAACCATTGGGGGCAGTGCTGGCCCCTCCCTATTGGCCACTTGCATCGCTCAGCACACCCATCGGACGAGGCTGTCCCCCCCTCCAAGTGCCCTGCAAGTGCTCTCCAAAGGGCTCCAAGTCGTATGGAACGGGAACCCCATTGCGCTGGATCACACTTTACACTAACTATTCGTACAGTAAGGTAGGAACTTCCCTGCCCACCCATGTCCTCAGCTATGCTGACATGCATATCCACGCTTCCCACTCTCGTTGAAATTACCCTTTTGCTGTCTTTCGAATGCCTTCGTTCCTCGAATTTCCTCTAATTCTCGAAAATAATCCTAAACTCTCGTTCAACGACAACCCGTGTTCTTACAACTCCGTTCCTTCGTCTCTTCAACCATTTGTTATCCTGTCCCTCCAATGGACTAATGACCATACTCATACGCTCTCCGAAGCCGTACCCCTCTGACCCCTAGAACCAGAGTAGGCTTGATTGAGCAAAGAATCAAAACCCCTCCCGCGCGACGACAAGAGTCAGCCATACGCACGATCGATTCGTTCAACCAACACACACACACACACATAGAGAAAACAGAGGTTTGAACCGGAGGCAGGCTATCAAGCCGCTGCAGCTCGCCCGCCATGTGTCTCTCTGTACGTCTCTCACCATATCCCGTAGGGGTTGCGCGCTCAATGCAAGGCTCCAGCATTGGCAACGCCCGCATATGATGCTTCTCCCGCACTTTCCTAAAGCCTTTTTGACACTGGCCTCCAGCTTGTGCAGTTTGTGGTCAATTGTCATACCTAGACTTACACACATCTTGACAGTTCTGGCGCCGTAAGACCGCCCCGAGCGACGAAAAGACACAGAAGAAGCGAACCCTCACGATGCCGCTGTGGTCCTCTTCCAACAAGACCTCCGCCAATACCCTCAAGAAGATGGTCGGCCTCACCACCCTCCTGGCACCTACACGAGACGGATTCCACTTCCAGCCCGCTCCCCGGCCGATGCCCCTCATCAATATCACAAACGTCGACGGCGCCACCGACCCTTCATCCTCGTCATCCGCTGCCTCGGACCCCAAGGAGGCAGTCGTTTCGCCCAGTCCCGAGGAGATCCTGCTCAGCCAGGCCATCCGCGAACGTTTCGAAAAGATATTCAACGACCTACGCTCCCGCCGCTCTTCACTATCCCGTGAACCTTTTGTTACGCGCGACCAACTCCTCGTGTTCCTTGAGAATACCCAGGGCGAGACCGATGTCGAGGCTGTATTGCCTGAGGGTCAGCAACGATACAACTATGGCGAGTTTCTCGAATTGTGGTGGAGAAACTACGGCTGGGATGCTACTCGCCCAATAAAGGAGGAGGACAAGGACTTGAGCCGGCCCATTACGAACTACTTCATCAGCAGCAGCCACAACACATACTTGGAGGGCAACCAGCTTGCCTCCAGGAGTTCACCCGAGGCTTACAAAACTGTATGTTGCCCTGTGCTTGCATTCTCTCGGCAAAGAGACATAGCTTCTAACACGTGAACTGCAGGTCCTTCGCCGTGGATGTCGATGTATCGAAATCGATATCTGGAACGGAGACACCCCCATCACAACACAAGAGGGCAGCCGCTCTCCCAAACCTGATCATTCGAGGAACCTGTCTGGCTCCTCTCTTCCCAACGTGGCTGCGAGCGTCAAGGAGACGGTGGAAGATCTGCTGATCGAGCGCAGCACGAACGGCAATGGCCACAACAGAAACACCAGCACTGCCAGCAGGTCTCTAAATCCTCGCGATAGTGCCACTCTGCTGGGGCCGAGCGAGTCCACTGACTCCCTCGGCAAAACCCTACGGCCCTCATCGCCGACCCCCTCTATGAAGAACCGCCTGCCGTATCCCAAGGATGAGCCGATTGTCACTCATGGCTGGACTTTAACGACTCCCTGTGGCTTCAGAGAGGTCTGCAAGGCCGTTCGCGAATCCGCTTTCGAGACGAACGAATTGCCCCTGATTGTCAGTCTCGAGGTCCATGCCGACAAGGAGCAGCAGGAGGTGATGGTCAGAATCATGAAAGAGGAGTGGGAAGGCATGTTGATCGACAAGTCTTGGGAGGGTATTGATCCCCGGTTCCGCCTCCCCAAGCTCGAGGAGCTGAAGCGCAAGATCCTCGTCAAGGTGAAGAAGGCGCCTAATAAGATTGAGGTGCCTCCCAGCACGACGGCCCTCTCCCAAGTATTTGCCAACGACGAGGACGCTTCGGGTTCCGACGATGAACGCAACAAGGAGGCGCCTAAACCGGAGACGCCGAAACCGCCCATGACACCAAAGCTCGATGCCCCTGTCAAGGTCCATAGTGGAAATGAGCCGGCCAAGAGCACAAAGGTGGCCATTTGCCAGGCACTTAGCAGTTTGGCCATCTACACCCACAGCGAGCACTTCAAGAGTTTTGAGACGCCGGCGGCTAAGAAGCCGAGTCACATCTTTTCGATAAGCGAGAACAGGATCCTGGAATTGCACACGACCAAGGCCCGCGAGATGTTCACGCACAACAAAAACTTCTTCATGCGGGCATTCCCCAACGGCTCGCGTGTCGACAGCTCCAACCCTGACCCCAGTCTCTTCTGGCGCAAGGGCGTGCAGATGGTTGCTCTGAACTGGCAATATCTCGACGAAGGAATGATGCTCAACGAGGGCATGTTCGCGGACGAGCTGGGATGGGTCCTCAAGCCTGTTGGATACCGCAGCTCTGACAAGGACACGCTGACGGAGGTCGACGCCGCGCCGCAGGGCGATCTGGAACTCACCGTCACCATCATTGCTGGACAGCACATCTTTGTTGACGACGATTCTGCCAGCGATAGCAGCCGCGGCAAGCACCTTCGGCCATTTGTCAAGTGCGAGCTTCACGTCGAGATTGGAGCGCAAAACGGAAAGGCTGCCGACGAAGACGACTTCAAGCTCAAGACGGGATCGAGAAAGACTGACCACCCGGAGTGGGAAAATGGAGCACGGCTCAAGTTCCCCAAGATTTCGAGGGTGGTGGAGGAGTTGAGTTTCCTCAGGTAAGAAAAGTCACAGTTTCCTTTCACTTTTTTTTTTTTGCTTCCTTTCTCCCTCCGGCAGCGGCATGTCTGGGCCTACGAGCCTTGACGATCTTTTGAGACCATGACTCGAGAAGACGGTGAGGAGGATATATGCGCGGCTCCGCGCCTACCCTCCCGCGCGCCGGCGTGTCCGACCTGCAAGACCAGAACAGCTCCGGCGGTGTTACGTTGTCTGAAGTCGTGACGGCTCCCTGACCCCCGGGAATGGCCTGATTCATTCTCGGATGCCATGCCGGGACCCGTCGCCGCTCTTCGTCATCGGCACGAGACGGGAATGCTCGTGGAACGAATAGTCGTCAAGCTATCCTCCTTCTATGCCGTGTCACCGTCCCCTTCCCGTTCACGAACCGTTAACCTGTCAATACTTACCTGCCACGCGGGCCGCTGCGTTGACAGCCCGGGCCGCCGCACACCGCAACGTTGTTCTTCTTTCCACCCGCTTCTCTGCATCCTGCGAATAGCCATGATCAAGGGGGAAAATAAGAATGATTTTACTGACTTGTGTTTGAACCGCGCAGATTCAAGATTGAGGATGATCCGCTCCTCGGCGGCGACGAGCTCCTCTCGTGGGCATGTATCCGCCTCGACCGTCTCCGTCCCGGCTTCCGCTTCATCAGGCTCATGGACACCAAGAACAGGCCGATTGAAGGTGGCAAGCTGCTCGTAAAGATCGACAAGGTGGTGCGGTAGAGACCCGCGCGTCCCGTCCGTCTGTCCGTGATACCGTATTCCGTACCCGGCCTACGGGCAGAAGCGACAATGCTGTGACGCGCGATGTGGCAGACATACTAGCAGGGAAAGGTTTTTTTTTCTTTTTCTTTTGTTCCCTTTTTAATTCTTTGGTTCTGCGGGTTCCCATGGGAGGCTCTGATACCTTTTTATTGCATAATACGGTTGGTTGGGCGTTGACATGGAGTTTATTCTTCTTCTTCTTTCCTTTCTCGAGGCGAGCGATACCTATTTCCCCCCCTACTACGACGTAGAGTTTCAGATTTTTCCTTCCCCTATCAAGCCACCTTTTTCTTTTCTTCTATAATTTCCTTTTTTCTTTTTGTTTCGAGCATACGCTGTCCGCGGCACATTCGGAGAGACTCCTGTCCGTCTCGGGGAGTTTTTCGTTTTTTTTTCTCTCTCCTGCTTTTGATCGAGAGGCAAAAATTGAGACTTGGAAGGAAAACAACGGGAGAGACACAGCAGGTCATCTCAGAGTCATGAGAGGCCATTTGCTTATTTTTAGGGTGGGCGGCGGTGGTGGTTTGAGAGAAGGAAAACCCCCTTCTCTCTTGATGAGGTCACAAGACTTGCTGAGAGCAAGAAAATTAAGAGACAGGACTTATGCGTTGGTGGGAAACAATTGTCTCAAGGTCACTGAGATAAGACACATACACACACACACACATGACAGACAAGACAAGACAGGGCGCAAAAGGACGAACAGCACACATACAAACCTACAAACCTGTGGGGCGCCGATCTTGACGCAGAGAAGCGCGAGGCGGGATGGAACCCAAATTCCGTACCGTATGCAGTGGAGAGGAAATGACTAAACCAAGGGATCTCACCTACACATCTAGACTATGTTTTTGGGGGCCGTAGAGACCCAATCCGTGTTATGTCGTCGCTTCCGTGTGACCACTCCTGTCTCTTCTGTCAACGGCTCCCTCCCTAAATGGTCTCATTCACTGTCCAACGTGACCGGATCTGGGGGGGGGGGGGGGGGAGCATGTGCCGGCCATCCTGGAGCTTGACCGCCGCCTGCCGAGAAAGATCTGTCATATTTGAGTATTGACGAACGCGGCTTATGAGGATGTTCTATGCTACTGTGTAGCAGTCGAACACGACGAATTATCACCGCAATATCCGTATCTGACGAATAGTCACGGCAATGTGAACGGGAGCGGATACCTGCCAACCTTGTTCGGGATATGCAGGACGGACAGTACACCTCGTCAATGACATGTCGGCCGTATCACCAGCCTCTTATTTTATTTTTTTTCCACTGGCGTATTGTCTATCTGCAAGTGTCACGACCATCAGGGTAGCTGTCGGTTCCCGTCAGCATGTCGTGGGACCATGAGATTCTTCTTTTCTGCCCCACGTCGCACCTAGGCACACATGCTTCTTGTTGTACGACGCCGGGAAGGAAGACAATAGACTCGCGGACCAAGAGAATCTCTTATTGAGGTTGAACGATATGATTCTCGAGACTGTGTAACCTGAAAAGGAATGGTGGATGATGGTGGAGGGTTCCGAGTTGACGGGGCATCATATCCGACCACCGGTAGGCCCCGTTCCCTGCTGTTATTCAACATCGGACGAAAAAAGGACATCTTCCTCCTGCCGCTTTGTTGCCGCTTCTTCGACGGGAATCGGTCCTCGTTGAGCCGCCGTGTAACGACTCTGGATGTGACTCCACCACCCATTTCCGTGCCAAGAGGACTGACTGCAGTTGAAATTTTTGCTCGTAAAGGCAAGGTTCTAGACTGCTTCTGTCCGCCATGATGCGTTGGTCGTCTGCGACAAATGAAGGCTCTCATGAACCCCACCCACAACAATCTCAACCCCGGCGAGGGCTCAACAGACGACGCTGCAGCCCTGCCCGGCTCTTGCGGCTTGGCACCGAAAGATGCACGATTGGCAACCCTTCCTGCCTGGATACCTAACCCGGTGGCACCAGTTGTGGGCTGCAGTCTCGGCATCAGGAAGCAAGCCACCGAAAAGAACAGATGAAGCTAAGCGGGAGTGCGTCGATCCCCAGGAAGTCTCAACCCGCTGTGGCGGGTGTGATAGCATAGGTAGCCAAAGGCGAGGTGCTCAGTGTGACCGTTGGTCTTGAGACAAGTCATAACGTAGAATAAGAAAGACTGTTCCAAAGTTGTCCAATGGACCAATTTCATCTTGCATGTCTGTAAGACAAAAAGGAATAATCGCCGTCATGTGCAATCATAGTGCCGGACTAGATGATATCTGGCGCGGCCCGACAGTTGACAACTTGTCAGTTCTCACTGGAGGTAGATTTGCCGGTGCGACTGATCCGACCAAGGGGATCGCCGCGGAATAAGCAGCCTCAGCTGCAGGTTTTTAGTTGGCATCTCGACAGTCCATCCCCTCGAGCCGTCAAGAAGAAGCCAGCACCAGTTTGCTCAACTTGCAGCCATCGGAGGTTGGCCATCTCCCTGTCCGCAACGAGTACCAACGTCGCCAAATTAAAGTTGACAGGACTATGGCTTGATATTGAGACAGGCGATTGGTGGTTACCTGGCGTTGCGGGAACTAGGGCGGTGTAACAAGACTATCACCAAGCGCCTAGCTCTCGAGTAATGTTAGGAGTTGGCCATGAAAAAGGTGTTCAAAGTACCTAAAGTACGTATGCAAAGGGCAAGGGTTTGGGAAGTGAGACATGCGTTTGTTCTGTCAGTTGGGAATGTCGTTTGGCGGGGGCATCATCGAGATCTCCCTCAATCTAAAAGTACCGTTAGGGATTGAGCCTCTGGTTACTGAATAGTGATGAAGATGCAATAACCCGCCATTGCTTCTCGGTTTTGTGACTGGCCATGTGGTACACTGGCTGGGTTGCTGCGGGCGGTTCCGACAGTCTGGTCGACTAGCTAGGTATGCCTGCCGTCCATGAGCATGTTACCGAGGTTTTGGTGTTTTCCATGGAGATGATCAGGAGATTGAGGGAGGGATCGTTCGTAGATCTGATGGAGCTTCGAAATGGGGCTGTCTTGAGACTTGGATCCCAGTCTTACGTCAATCGTTACTCTCTTAGCCCTGCCCAAAAAGCGGTGATTACCATGTGTCAGGAACCTCGAGTTCAAGACTTGGAGCGGCAAGCCATCAATTAGGCCATGAACCAGCATAGCCAAACGAGGAGACGAAACAGCCGTAGTCCCTGTTGAGGATCCTGGCGACTGTCGTTTGGCGGTTTGATGAGACATAAGCCCATCGAAGCTGAAGGCTGCCAAAACACCACGTCTCTCCGGTTGCTTGCAGATGTAATGCAAGTACCCTCACCGCAAGGGACTTGTCGTTATTGATATGCAGTCGTGGAATACGCGAAAGAATTGCTGAAAACCTGTTTGTTCTCGTGCTTGATGCTGTCCGGAGCAGTCAATGGAATGTTTTCATAGGAAATACTAGTGCAGCCAGGTTTTCCGAAGCAAGGGCGGTAGATTTAGTAGCTCTTTTGTGCTTGACCTAGACACTCCCGGTTTAATTCGATATATTGGTCGAACTTCCCGACAGCAGAGCCTCTCGAAATTACGCAAGTTACTGGTCACACATCCTTGCAAGAGGAAGATTAACGCTCTTTTCCATGGTCTCACCATACTTCGAGCGCGACCAGATCGTAGAACTGTTGAATAGTGATAGTGACGAAGAGAATGTCTTTGAAGGGGCGGGCAGTGAAGCTTTGCAGCGGAAGTTGTAGTTAATGTGACAGATCACTTTATTCCGTTCGATTGCAGCCTCAGTGAAATTAGAAGCGGAGGCTGGGACAATGCCGGGCATGTACCGATTTTCGATGAGAGACTGACTGATCGACCGCGCATCTCGTCTCCGAGATGACAGGTCACATTGGCTTCTTGGTATGCTGGACGTCCACGCAGGAGGTGGGCATTGAGGCACCCAAACGACCCCCCGATTCTGACATTGAATGTCCGTAGTGTTACGCACAAAGCTGTCTGCACGAGTATGCAGGTCAAATGTTGGAGGCGTCGACTGCCAGATGAAGGCTGCAGGAGGTGTGTTGGTACGTCGGCTAAAGGTAGTGACCACTGACTAGTCGTTGAGACTGGTTGGAGGCTCAGAGCGTGCGTGTTCTGTGTTCCGCTAGTAGTGGTCACAAATGACAAGAATGGTATTTCGCCGAGAACAATCGACACGTCGATTCGCCTGTTGGGTATTTGAAACCAAGATGTGTGAGACACGAGATTGTCTTATGATGCTCCTGGGTCGGCGCCAGCTAACATTGTCGATTCACATTTCGGTGAAGATGGAATCGGAATTTCTGAATCCAGACCCTTCGATGATTGTTGATGAGTCTGCCCACATGCATTTTGAAGATCGCCTGCCATTGAACGGTTCGGTGTGAAATGAGCTACACCTGGCCAGAACGGCACAAGCCGCGGTACCATCTCATCGATCAACGGCGACTTTGCCAAGCGCAAAGTAGTTGCACACCTCCCTCGTTTGATGGAGGTTGGTGGCAATGCCTCCGACACACGGCGGCACGTCTGCGAGAACAGTCGGGACGACAGCCGGAGGCCCGAAAACGTATGATCTCGTGTCTTTCGGCAGGGCTGGTGTTATGGGGTGAGATGCAAAGACGTTGGAAAAGGCCACTGCGACGTCACATTGTGTCCAAACCTTGGCACATGTGTCAAACCTCGTTGGCGTCGCTTGGACCAAGGGCGGGCTGTGGTATTACACATTCACCTTTTTTGCGGCCTCGTATTGCGGCCTCGTCACACCGCGGTAACGACGAGTAGCGTGTGCGCACCGTAGATCGCGGGATGTGATGGCGGATACGGCTGAACGTCACAGTCTACGCGGCCGATCACGGTGCGACCACCTTGAACCAGCTTGCTGGGATGAGGCTAGGCTCCTGCCTCTTGCAGTAGTCGGTGAGCTGTGTAACAAGCAGCAGCGCCAGGCCGGTAGGTATCGTGGTCGACGTTGGAGAGGGT